TCTGTGTTACAGCCAGCTATTAGTTAACTTTTTCCAGTATTGAAATGTGATACCAACACTTGTTTTCTGTTATAGCTGAAAATGTGACTAAACTAGGCTTCTCCATCTGTTTGGTTTAATCTGGACATCAGTTACAAAATTCACCTTCTTGAATTTTCTTTCTCTTCATACATCGAGGCATCTCTATCTACTCCAGCAAGTTCTATGTTATATGGATTTTGTTTTTAATTCAAAGCATTTACGTCCCTCTCAAAAACTGGAAATGCTGCCAGAACAGCTTACAGATCAATATCCTCTCCACCCACCTGCAAAAGTTCTTGCCCTCAATCTTACAATCTTAAAATACACATGTAGAATGAGACAGGGAAGAAAGAGAAAAGCAAGCAAACAGGGACCAATTTCCAGATGTTATCAAGTTCTTATAATGATCATCTTGGGTCGAAGCACAGCTAAAAAATAATAATCAAACGAATCCCAAACGGCTGTTTTGGTGGTGTGTGTATGGAATGATGCAACATGGCTGACACATCAAATAGAGAAGGAAATGGAATGGGATCACAAAATAGTAGAGGCGTGTCCGTCCCCCCATCAGTGGAAAAAAGAAACTTCAATAATAATAATAATAATAATAATAATAATAATAATACCCAGCCCATCTGGCTGGGTTTCCACTCTGGGTGGCTTCCAACAGAATATTAAAATACAATAGTCTATTAAACATTAAAAGCTTCCCCTAGGTTGCCAACAGAAAAAGTGTTGAATTAAACCCTCTGGAGGCCCCATGGCAATTGAAATCTTGGGGGCCCCATCACAAATTATCTTCTATATGCATTTTTTATTTTAAAGGTAAAGGTAAAGGACCCCTGGATGGTTAAGTCCAGCCAAAGGCAACTATGGGGTTGCAGCGCTCATCTTGTTTTACAGGCCAAGGGAGCCGGCGTTTGTCCACAGACAGCTTTCCGGGTCATGTGGCCAGCATGACTAAGCCACTTCTGGCACAACGGAACACCGAAACAAGAGTAGCGCACAGAAACGCCTTTTACCTTCCCGCCGGAGCGGTACCTATTTATCTACTTGCACTTTTTGGCGTGCTTTCGAACTGCTAGGTTGGCAGGAGCAGGGACCGAGCAACAGGAGCTCATCCCATCACAGGGATTCGAACCACCGACCTTCTGATCGGCAGGCCCAAGAGGCTTAGTGGTTTAGACTACAGCGCCACCTGCGTCCCACCTATTTTTTATTATACCAGCCGACAATTTTAATAAACCAATTTTATTACATGAAACAAACATTAACAATTATTAAACAAACTAACATATCATATTATTAAACAAAAAGCTATGGAAGCTTGAGATGGTGATTTTCTTTCAAGATCTAATCAGTATTATCGTGATCTGTTGTTGCAGGGCCCCTAAAAGTTGTGGTGCCTATAGGCCAGTTCCTATGTGGTAATCTGGCACTGGACAGAAATTATTTGCACCTCTCCTGTGTTCTGAAAAGAAAGAAGAGGGAAGGGTGGGTGGGTGGCCCAGTCCTGATATCCACTGAAATAATTGAGCATGTGCAACGTAAGAGACACTAAGCCAAGGCAAGCAGGAACTTAGAGCAGGATGATCAAACAGTCTCTCGTAGATTGTGGATTTTTGAGCAGATATTTACAAGAACTTTCATGGGTCCCATAAGAGGTACTGGAAGGTTCTCTGACACCTGAGTTAAAGAAAATGTTTAAAAATACTTTTGTTAAGAAACCAGAAGCCTTTTTATTGGGTATAGTGGGTGAAGAGATACCAAGGGAAGATAAAAGACTGTTTATGTATGCAACAACAGCGGCAAGAATTCTTTTAGCTCAAAAATGGAAACAGCAAGAAGTACCAACGAAAGAAGCGTGGCAGATGAAGATGGTGGACTTTGCAGAAATGGCGAAGCTGACAGGAAAAATCCAAAACCAGAATGATCAAGTATTCCAAAAGGACTGCAGTAAATTTATACGATATTTGAAAGATTACTGTAAGCAATTAACATCACTAGCAGGGTTGTCTTAAAAAGCATATTAAAAAGCAGAAACATCACCTTGCCAACAAAGGTCTGAATAGTTAAAGCCATGGTTTTCCCTGTAGTGATGTATGGAAGTGAGAGCTGGACCATAAAGAAGGCTGATCGCCGAAGAATTGATGCTTTTGAGTTATGGTGCTGGAGGAGACTCTTGAGAGTCCCATGGTGTCAGAGCTGGCTCCAGGTCCCAGCTCACAGAGGACCAACGCTAGCCGGCAGTAATGTGCAAAAGTCTTTATTGAAGTACAGTTTCCATTTTCAAGCCGGAGCGCCCCAGCTCTACGTCTAGGGGTTAGATCGGCGAAGCTCCATCTGAGTCTCCGCCCCTGTACACCAGTTTAAGATTCTAGCCTTACTCCACCTCTTACGTCTCTCCTTTCTCCTCTGGGTCCTGCTACCCCCGGGTCCCTTCCTTCCTGGATTCTTCTGACGCTGACCCTCCTGACTCCTCCCCTCTTTCGGCGGGCTTTGGGACCTGGCTCCCTATCCGGGCTGCCAACTGCGCCGCCCTCCTGTACATTTGAACTTGGCTCGCTCCCCGATGGAGGCGTGGCCAATCCTGACTCATGTCCTCCCACTGGCAGTGCGCCGCCTGATCCCGATGCCTGGGACTCCTCCCCCCCTACTGCACTCTGGTGTGGACGCTGGTCCTGATTTCCAACTGCTGCTCTCTGAGTCCCCTCTGGCCCCTTCTTCCTGGGGTGTCCCCTCGGCACCCCCTTGCTCTGACCAAGGGAGCCCTTTCTGTGAATCTTCCGATTCGCTGGAAAGACTCAGAGACCTCGGACCGCTGTCATCGCTAACATTTCCTTCGGACTCCTCCCCCTCGCTCTCTATTTCCTCCCTTTCCTGTGCCTCTGCTCCTGAACCCCTGACACATGGACTGCAAGAAGATCAGACCTATCCGTTCTGAAGGAAATCAGCCCTGAGTGCTCACTGGAAGGACAGATCGTGAAGCTGAGGCTCCAATACTTTGGCTACCTCATGAGAAAAGAAGACTCCCTGGAAAAGACCCTGATGATGGGAAAGATCAGCACAAGGAGAAGGGGACGGCAGAGGACGAGATGGTTGGACAGTGTTCTCGACGCTACCAGCATGAGTTTGACCCAACTGCGGGAGGCAGTGGAAGACAGGAGTGCCTGGCGTGCTCTGGTCCATGGGGTCACGAAGAGTCGGACACGACTAAACGACTAAAGAACAACAACAACAACAAGCAGGGTTGTCTGAAGACTCACAATGAGAAACTTTCTCCCTTTTTATTTTAACCTACATTTTAATGTCTTTTTGTAATGAGTAAAACTAGAATTGGAAAACGTATGAAATGCAATGATATAAAGGTTGATTTTGAAGGCCATGAGGCATGAGGGAAGGAAATTGATGGGCTCTAAAGAGCCAGAGAGGTAAAGTGGATAACAATGATATGATTGTATATTATTAAATGGAAAACTAATAAAAAATTATATACAAAAAAAGGGATCTCCGACACCGTGTTGCTGACTCCCTGAGTAATGCAAGGAATAATACCGCAGCTTATTAATATCAGCTAACAGACCGACAGTTTCCTGCATTAGCCATTAGCATGCGGACTGAATACATGGATATGCTGAAATAACCAACATTTCTCCAGTGTACAAATATCTTTGGTTTCCTATTTCCTATTACATGGCCAAAGCAACCCCTAGACTGGATTAAAAATTGTATCCTGATTGAAATGTGATGCAATTCTAATGCAAACCTGGCCTAAACATTTTAGTTATACGATAGTCGCAACAGGCTTGGCTTACATCCTTGGTGACAATGGTGGTCAAGGTCATCAGTGCTATTGCATGAGAAGAGATGAAGCAACAAAAAACTAATTTGGGGAAACGCCGGATGAACTTGAAAGCCGAATAATTTGCAATTAGACAATGTGACACATTGTCAAGAATTTAATCAGTAATTTACAAAACATCTAAAGAGACATGCATCAATGTTTAACAAATGCACTTTGTCCGAAATAACGGGGGGAGAAATTGTCTGCAGCTAATTCATGACATCCGGAACATCACGCAATTTAAAATAAACTCACCTTCCAAAAATTGGGTTCAGCTGCTTCGGAATATAATTGTCTCTGTCTTTGATTTCTGTTTTTCCCAACCTAAGCACAATATAAGGATCTGATTTGCCATCTGGATCAGCTGGACTAAGATTAAATGCCTACAATGAGAAAAAATTATTAATACATCCCAAACTATATAGCCAATCTAGAGTAAAAAAAACACCAAGTGACTCCATTAATTATTTCATTTTTCTGAATTAATTTAGTTAAATCTTTCTCCATTGATCCTATTTTCCCCTAAGAAGACCAACCCATTCTATGTTGATTATAGATTATTAAAAAAACAACAATGACTGGTAGATAAAATATTACGTTAAATAGAAGATTCTTAATTCTGTTTGTAGATTATACTGTGTTTTGAAGAATTGTTATGTGAATCCTGAAATACTGTTCCAGTATTTCCAGGGCAGGGGTAGTGGTGCCAATTTGTATTTATACTTAGAATAATAGACTTGTAGAATTGGAAGGGACCACGAGGGTCATTTTCTAGCCCAACTAGTGCTGGATTTACGTATAAGCTAAACAAGCTATAGCTTAGGGCACCACTCTCTTGGGGGCTCCGAAAAACTTTAAAGGGAAAAAAACAACACCTGGATGTACATTTCCAAAATAGAAGATAAAAAACAAATAAAATAAAACCTACATACAGCAACAGTGGCAAATGGCTTTAGATACCTATTAGGTCCATAAATTACCATACAGCATATATTAAACACACAAAAACAGTGGCAATTTGTTGTTGACAAAGGACAGCTGGACATATAAAAGGCCCCATTACCTTCAGTAGCTTAGGGCCTCATCAAACCTAAATCCAGCTATAGGCCCAACGCCTGACAATGTGGGAATCTTTTGCCCAACGCAGGGCTCAAACCCACGTCCCTGAGACTAAAAGAGTCTCACGCTCTACAGACTGAGCTGTGCTTAATTCATACTATTTTGTAATAGTTTTATAGGGAAGTAAAACCAATAAATACAGTCATACCTCTTGTTACGTTTGCTTCATGATACGTTTTTTTCAGGCTGCGTCCCGCGGTGACCCAGAAGTACAGGAAAGGGTTACTTCCAGGTTTCGCCACTCGCGCATGCGCAGACGTGCAAAATGAAGTCACGCACATGCGCAGAAGCGGCGAATTGCAACCCACTCGTGCGCAGATGCGGGTTGCGTTCCTTTCAGGTTGAAAATGGGGCTCCGGAATGGATCCCGTTCACAACTAGAGGTACCACTGTAATCTCCATTTTGGCAGGTAGCTAGAGTCTGGCCAATGCAGCGCTTGACTTCATTGAGCGTGTCATGGCTTGACCCCACCCCTGTCAGGTGCTGCCTGTTGTTCAAGGCTTCGGCCCCAGACTCTGCACCTAACAGAACCATCTGTTATACTTACTGCGACAACGTATACTCTGATGAGAACTTTCACCGAGTGGTTGGGAGGGATGCCCTGCAAGATTCTTGGCTGGCCTCCATCTCCTGAGCAGCTGTCTTCTGGACTTTTGTATATGCAGAAACAGCCCTGTTAATACACAGCATGGATATTGATCATTCCTAGTGCCAAACCAAAATCAGCAGATGCAGACATAATGCCATGTTTGCAGTGGGTTTTTTTGTTTACAAATGCATTCAATACTTATCTAAAAAATAAAAAAAAGGATCACATGCTATTACAGTGATACCTTGGTTCTCAAAAGCCTTGGTACTCAAACAACTTGGAACCCAAACACTGCAAACCTGGAAGTAAGTGTTCCTGTTTGCGAACTTTTTTCAGAAGCCGAACGTGCTCCGTTTTGAGTATTACGCTTCCGTTTTGAGTGCCACAGTTGTGTGTTGAGTGTTACGCTCAGGTCCGTCTGTTTTTGCTATTTATTTTGTGTTTTGGTTTTTGCGGCTCTTTGTTTGTTTGTTTTTGTGGCTGTGTGGAACCCAGTTCAGCTACTGATGGATTGTGTGACTGCAGTACATTGTTTATTGCTTTCTTTTTATGGATCAATGGTCTCGTTAGATAGTAAAATTCATGTTCAATTGCTGTTTTAGGGGTTGTTTTTAGAAGTCTGGAACGGATTAATCCGGTTTACATTACTTTCTATGGGAAAACGCGCCTTGGTTTTGGAATGGACTTCCATAATGGATTAAGTTTGAGAACCAAGGTACCACTGTACTCTCAAGAGTTTTTGGGAGACCCCTATTCCTCTCCCAGAACCACCATTTCCAGACTTCCCTGAGAGGAGGGATGGGTGGTTAAACACCTCTGGTAGTTGTGGTTTTGTGAGGGAAATAGGGGTTGTTTAACATGTCTGAGCACCCTTAACAAACTAAAGCTCCCAGGATTCTTTGGTGGTAAGCTATGACTGTTTAAAGTGGCATAATGGTGTATTGTGTGAATGTGGCCTGAATACATTGCCACTGCTTGGTTCTTTTGGGGTTGACAGATTAAGGTGTAATAAGAATCTTAATTTTTAACATTTCAATTAAGTGATCTGAAGACAACAGCCCGAGGGTTGTTCTGAAATTGGGAATAACTCTATTTTCATGAGTTAATTGAATGTATGATAGAGGTACTGAAAGCTTGTCCTCTTTTTAGACTTAGGACAGGGTACCCCGTGGTTTTTCAATCAATGAAGAATCACAGGTTCTGCCAAAAATAAAAAAGTGTGTTTAGTTTGGTTAATCTACCATGTATGGCATACTCTGTGCACTGCCCCACAAATGCTAGCAGACTTAAATATTACCAAGTAAAAATTAATTTCTGTGCAACGTGGATTTCTTTATTTCCACGTGGTACTTTTCACAATACCTTAAACTTCCCTACGATCCTGTCCTCATAGTCGCTGTGATCTTCATCAGTGGACTTGCCTCGGAAGAGTTCAAACGTTTTCACCCAGTCTTCAAAGTTGTTAAATTCACTCTCCAAATCTCCATCGTAGATCTTTGGAAGAGATCGACCAACATCCAGCATTTCACAATCGAGAAAACAGTGGGAGCAGTTTCAGAACAAAAAATTAAGTAGAATAAGCAGGAAACTGGGAAAATATGTGAGTTGAGCACCTAGGATTTGTGCTGATTCTCCCAAATTAGCAGAATAACCCGAATTTCCAAAAACGAATGAACTTTACCTCCAGCGTTGCTAGATTTGGAGGGGCCTCCTTCACTTTCTTCTTGAGCAACTTGTCTTTCTTCTTTCTGTCTGGCTCATCTTCAATGCTCAGTGCTACGTGGCCAGAGGTCTGTTTCGCTACAGAGATTAAATGGAACAGGTTTTGTTTTGTTTACCATTACAAATGACTGCATCGAAAGATGAACCTCAAGACTGCCACCACTTTGGAGCTTCAAGTGCATTTGCACAAGCCTATTGTTTGTTTATTGTAGCAAATAAATAGTAGCAGCAATGCTATGATGATAGAACTAAGGTTGGAAGAGGATGTCTCTCCTGGGAACTGTAACAACTGAATTCCCCTTCTTTTTAAAAAAGAATATTATTATTCGCTACATGCATGCCTTACATTTAAAAATCACATTTTCCCCACCCCAAAAGAAGCCTGGGAACCACAGTTTGCCCTTCACAGAGCTACAGTTCCCAGCATCCTTAACAAAGTATATGTCAGGCTTCGGGGAACCAGCTTCCTCCTCCGCAGTAGTAAACAAAAGATCAAGCGAAAGGAACGTCTTACCAGTTAGAATCTTAATTACAGTGAGAGAACAAAGAACACGTCTCCTAGAAATGGCGGTGCTCCCAATTAAGGGTCACACCCCCTTCTATCCCTATTAATCCACGTCATTCCTATGTCTTGTCACCTCAGCTTGTACCCTCTGTGCTTTCTGTTCTGCCACTTTCTGAGCTCTCCGTGACTTTGGAGAAGGGGGATGAATGCTGTCCAGAGACTGTGAATCTGTTAACCCTCTCTCTTCCAGTGTTTCTTCTCCTAGCTGATTCTTGGGGATGATGGTGGATGTGCTTTAAATCAATGGCATGAATTCTATCCCATCTCTTACACAGGTTTCCCAGTTAACTCCCATTCAAGCTGCTAGTCAGGTCCCCCCATTTTTCTTTAGCTTCATCAGATCAGGTTCTCACTGGAGCAATGATGATCACATCCTTTATATTCTCCCTATTTGTTTCCCTACTTTTTAGTTATTTATTTAAAAAGCTATTTTTATTTAACAAGATTGAATGAGTTGTTTACACAAGATATACGTTAAAATCACAGACAGAATCGGGTGTAAAAAAAGAAGATAGCTTAAAACTTTTCAAAATAAAGCCCAGCAGTTTGAAAATAGTAATTCTAAAATAAAATTGCATATTAAAATACATGTCAAATTTGCAGACTTGCTTAAAAATGAAAAGGTTTTTAGCGAGAACCAAAAACCAAAGGTGTCTGCCAGTTATCAAGGAACAGGGAGTTCCATATTGCTGGTGGTGTCACTATTAATTATATCAATATGTTTTTTATCCACTGTGCCTAACTTCAGGCTTAGCAAACTGTTTCCCATCCCTTGGCACCAGCACCAAGAATTTTATGATGCAACATCAAATTAGTTGGCACCGGCCCTGCATAAGACTAAAGTAGCATTTCAGAGGTCTAGAGTCCACACCAGTGTAAAATGCCTATGTGCCTCAACTGTACTTTCTTATTTTTTATTTTTTTAAGAACATGCAGGTGGGATCCTTTATCCTAATTCCCACCCACCAGGTTCATCAGAATGGAAGGGAAAAAAACCTGCAGCCCACTAGCAGCTGAATGGAAGAATTCTCTTTAAGGTGACGGGCAAAGTTATTTTGGACACGGATACAGCAATCAGAAAAAAAGAACTCCTTGCCGGCCTATCAAGATGTTTCAATCATGCGGAGACACAAATTGCCTGCATAATTAGATTTCTGGCAAGCTCTGCTACACCAGTGAGTTAATGATTGAAATTCCATGCACCTGCAGTTCTCGGGCCAGCAATAAATTAGGTCAAATCTACGCCGCACTCGTGGAGTTAAGTTTAAAAACAGGCAAACAGGCAAACAAATAATTAAGGGTCAGACACATTTATAAAAGACAGGGTATGCCAAGAACCAAGATATTAGCTGCCAGATCTCCAGCAAAGCCTCCCCTGAAATATTTTGGCTTTATTTGACTCTTGGTGTATCTGTGCTTAGGGCCAAGCTAGATGTCTTAGCAACAGCATGAATTGTTATATAAACAGCAGCCAAGGGGGGCCTCAGCAGAACTGGAACCACGGGAGGTGAACAAGCTAGAATCATAGAGCTGAAAGGGATCCAAGGGTCATCTAGTCCAACCCCCTACAATTCAGGAATGTCAGCGAAAGCATCCATGACAGATGGCCATCCAACCTCTGCTTAAAAACCTCCAAGGAAGGATCCCCACAGCGGGCGGGATGGTATACACAAGGTAAAAGTTAAATGGACGCAGGTGGCGCTGTGGACTAAACCACTGAGCCTCTTGATCTTGCCAATCAGAAGGTTGGCGGTTCGAATCCCTGTGATGAGGTGTGATCCTGTTGCTCTATCCCAGCTCCTGCCAACCTAGTAGTTTGAAAGCACACCAGTACAAGTAGATAAATAGGTACCACTGTGACAGGAAGGTAAACAGCATTTCCGTGCACTCTGGTTTCCATCACAGTGTTCCGTTGCACCAGAAGCGGTTTAGTCATGCTGGCCGCATGATCTGAAAACTGTCTGTGGCAGCGGCGGAGGAAGCCGCTCGGGTGCCTGGAGCGGTGCGCCCAGGGGTGGTGCGAGCCGCCCATAGGGGCTGGGCACACCACAGAGCCTCTGGAGTCTGCCTGCCTCCTCCCACTCAGCCGCACTACAGCTGGGGAGGAGGCAGCGGGTGGACCATTGGGGCACGAGAGACGCGTGGCTCGGCCGCGCTGCAGGCCCTACAGTGAGTGCCACCCAGCATTTTGTCACCCCCCTCAGTGGTGA